ACACACACACTACACACACACTACACTACACACACACACACACACTACACACACACACACACACACACACACACACACACACACACACACACACACACACACACACACACACACACACACACACACACACACACACACACACACACACACACACACACACACACACACACACACACACACACACACACACACACACACACACACACACATATATATATATAGAGTGTGTGGTATCACTATATTTGTATTTGTATGCATGTGTGCATATTGTTAAGCATATATGAATATACATGTACGTGTGATTTAACTATTACACATTCGTAACACACGCTCGAAAATTATTGTACGAACCAGGGCGCGACACGATTCTCAGATTCTATTTATGGCATTCACTTGTGAATCAGTGCTGTATTGTCTCAGTTTGAGCAAAATAGTACTCTTATACACAACATAAGCATCTTGTGGGAATCGTGGTTGCTTTCTGCCCATAACTTCGGCTATCTGAGCGCAATCAATCGCTCGTAGTCCTAGTACGTAGTAGGAATTCTAAAACAATCATCCCATTCGCCTTCCTTGCTATGCACAGTGCATTCCTCCCACGTTAAAAGGCAAAAACGTCATTGGTTTGGCCAAAACCGGTAGTGGTAAGACTGCAGCCTTTGCATTGCCCATACTGCAACACCTGTCAAAAGACCCTTACGGAGTGCATTCGGTCGTCCTCACACCTACGCGCGAGCTAGCTTTTCAAATTAGTGAACAGTTCACAGCGCTCGGACATGCGTCGAACGTCAGAGCTGTGGTGGTTGTGGGTGGGCTGGATATGATGAGGCAAGCCTTGGAGCTGGCAAGGAGACCACATGTATGTTGTTGCGTTGGGTGTGAGTTGGTTACAGGTGTCCCTAGTTGGTGTCAGTGAGATGCTCGCACTAGTACATAATCTGCTACTCTGATCGAGGTGTAGATATTTGACTGATCGTGGCTTCTGCGTATTTGTTACCAGTTGATTTTTATTGTCAGAAATCTCTTAGCGACTAATAGTTGACTTATATCCTGGAATCATCAACCAATCTGATGGACAGGTTGTCATCCACAAATCTGGTGGACAGAGAGGTATCCAATCTGTGCTTTTCTACCAAGCCACCTGCATACTTCATGTTTCAAAACAGCTAATTCTCGTTCAAAATTGATACATATCTTTGTCTATTATATTTGTTCTAGTGCCGATATATGGCGCAAGCAATTAATATATCATATTTTCAGCTCATTTCTACTTTATACTCTTTATGCTTTTGTCATATACTACGCACCTCACACGCTGACCACTATAGTTTCCGTTTGGTCTGAACGATCTACGCCGTTCTCCACTTACTACAGGTTGTCATTGCCACACCGGGCCGTCTCGCGGATCATTTGCTGAGCAATAGTGACATCTCCATCAAGAAAATTAAATTCCTGGTACTTGATGAGGCTGATAGGCTGCTCTCCGAGACGTTCAGGGCACACTTAGACATCATACTACGGTACACGCCACCCCCCACAAAGCGACAGACTCTGCTGTTCAGTGCGACCATGCATGAGAATATGGGAAAAGATCATCTAGAATTTGTCGGCTGTTTCAATCCTTTGCGATTCGAGGCACAATCAAGGTACGCCATACTTACCTTATGTGTGATTCAGTATACTTCCTCGTGGACGAATCTTGACTTCTGCTTTTAATATCATGAACGGCCAGAAAAGCTACCTTCTGTTCTTATTGATGGTTTTACGCTTGCGCGTGAGGCTTTTGTGCGCTTAATACCAGTTCGTCGATGGTTCAATTGGTGGGATAGGTACTCTGCGCTTTGGCCTAAGTGCTAGAGGTTTGCTAGTATCTCTGAATCTATCTATCTTGTCCAATCCATACAGTGAGAGAACAATATCGACGCTGGAGCAGAAGTACGTTTTTGTGCCCAGTCAGGTGAAAGATTGCTACCTTTTTGAATTCCTCGAGAAATACGAAGACACAACTGCCATCATCTTCGCGGCTACGTGTCTGTAAGTGTTTCATCGTTTGCGTACGAGGATATAAGCACTCATTGTGGGTGACAGAATGTGCTTTATGCAGATGTCACTGATGGTTACAAACGCGCCCCAAACTTGCACAAATTAGGGAATAGGTCGCAACTAGAGACATACCTCTTGTTTTGCTTTGGGCAGTATGCGAGAGCCACTTTGCGGCAGTGCAATACATCATCCACAGGTTATTCTGATATTGCAGGAACTTCTGGCAGCGAGATTCATGACTTCCACTTCAATCAGCGTATAGCAGCATACCGGCGTGCTCACACACCTACTGTCTGTTGTATCTGCATACTCCAGGGGCTGTGAAACCTTGGCTGTGATGCTGCGTGAACTGGGCTACTCGTGTGTAAGTTTGCACTCCAAGATGTCTCAGGGCCGTCGTTTGGCATCACTGGGCAAGTTCCGTGGCTCTCTTGTCAAGATTTTGGTCGCCACGGACGTTGCTTCAAGGTATGTGCATATCAAGTTGGTCGTCTGGGTGAGAGTGGGAGTACTTTTGCTGGACGGGTATTTTTAGGTAGATTCTTTGCGATGTTTGAAGTTTTGCTAAACAGTTGTGAAGGCTATTACGTTCATTAAAGCGAGCTAGATGGTCACGCACGTACTAGGGCCGGAAGGTACTTTCTCTCTCAACATGCTATGCCATGATTGTATGACTTTATGGTGTGGTGGTATTTGGCGTGAAATTCTATTCCTTGTTCACAAGCGAAGAAGCACATCTGCAATGTACTGCATTTTTTTTGTAGTATCTGGGCTAGGTCGAGGGACGGCGGAGTCTCGACGGGAAGTTCGTTACTATCTCTGATTTTGTTCATCGAGATCCGCCCTTCACATGTTGACGTGACAGGCGGACACTACAAGTGTTGCGATACACTATGCAATGCGTCAAACGTGTATCCACTATATCTCTACATCCATAGACAATCTCGCATGTCGATTCTATGAGAGCGATACACCGATACTCAGCGCTTGACCTATTCATAACAGAGGACTGGATATACCCGAGGTCGAGATTGTATACAACTACGATGTGCCAGCAAATCCCGACGACTACATCCACCGAGTGGGTAGAACCGCGCGTGCCGGCCGCGGCGGTTTGTCCATCACCATTATCACACAGCACGATATCGAGAGGATACAGCGGATCGAAGATCGTACCCGTAAGTTTGATTTCTTATGTGGATGCGGTGTTCTGTTGTGTGTTCGTATTACTAGTACACGTACATATTTGTGGATGTATGCTTTCAACGGATATGCAGGTGATTAGTAGACTATTTGTCTGAACATGTCACCTTTTTTATGTTATTGGGCGCTTCAAGATGCCGAAAATAAATTGTTTATTATATGTGGTGCGTGTTCGAATGCGTATAGGAGAACACAAGACTTTGCGTACTTTGAAGGCAATAGTTGTTCTACTCTAATTGTAGCTGTAAAACTTACTTACATATTCTATTATGGTATACTGTCTATCCCGATATACATCACGTGTGCAGTCTAGTATTTGATGGGTCCTGCTCCCAATTTGAAGTTGATCAATTTATAATTTTGATTTCTAATCACGCCACGCGCAGAGAGGAAAATGGAACTGGTGGAGACCGAGGAAGATGAAGTATTAAAACGACTAAATAATGTTACCAAAGCCAGGCGCGCCGCAATTCTGGTAAGTGTCAGTGCCCATTAGGCCATTCAAATGTAGCATAACAAATCAATATTAGAATATGCATCGTAAATAGACGTAACGGCCGGTGTTGACTTCGTGTCCCGTATTCATATTGTTAGTATTGGAAAATACCTCACCTGTGATCAGTACTGCTTACCTTTAGCTTATCTGCGCTGAGCCCGTGCTTTGTTACTTTGAACGTACCTATTAGGAACTGGATGATCGGGACTTCGGAGAGCGCGAGCGTAACAACAAAGAAAAATCGAGGAAGCGGAAAGAAGCAGATATGAATGCGACCCAGTCGAATAAGAAGAAGCACGCGCAAAGTTAGCTTAAAAATGTGATATAAATACAAACAATTCAGCCGACGCGTGCTACAGCTAAATGACTGGACTTGATATTTCCATACCCAACCTACACCCACTAAGCGATTATGCATCGCTGATATTGCCCTTCCGGCTCTGTAAATGTGTGTATAGACCTGTATGTACGTGGATATTCATTATAGATATTGAATTTAAGTACATGTTATATGTTGAAGCATGCCAAACATGTTACGTGCATTAGGGAACATCGAATTAAGTACACAGGAAAACACTTGCTTGTGTGAACAGAGTATCGGAAGCCACCATTTTGGTGCACCCTATATAAGGCTGGAACAAACAAGCAGTGCGAAGTAAAGCACATGCGAAACGCATGCACATCGGAGACGAATCACTTAACTCTACCCAACGAATTGTTTTTGTTCGTAAATTTGACACCCAACACGGTCTAAAAATCAGTCGAGGACGCGGTCTCGCGGATTGCTCACTGATTTGATTGTGTTCACGAGTCCGTGCCAATCCGGTCGAAATTGTTATTCGGACCTGTTGTATAAAATCGTTCATAGTCGCAATTCGATGCGCTTGGTGTTGCTTACTAATACGTTCAGAGCTTCTTCACTATAAAGCGCACCTTTACATCGCTTGTTGACAATTAATCAAATATAACCCCTTTGGCCTCATCGTGACATAGATTGCGAACAGATTTACAGACGCATACGAACGTTGAACGCGTCCAAGTCAAAAGGAAAACCAAAGCTCGTTTTGAGAACATTCTAAGCGTGGTATTCATTTAGCGTAGTATATTTCAGCTAGAATATTCCGGAGGGCATATATCAAGTCTACTGAAGGCATACAAGGTGCATCCGAGAAAGCGATAATAATTGCACTATGAATTAACCTGCATGGCATCTCAGCTCATGGATACATTTCACTTAGAAGGCTTTTGTTACTATGCCCGTTGGCTTGCCAAGGGACATAGTTATATGTATTTTCATGGATGCCCCACGCTCTCAGGGATATTCTGGGAAAGTAGGCGTCCCGTTTCCTAGCTTATCTCTATGTCGGTACTGCCAGTAGCTGTCGTTGTCTGTTGTAGGATCTGTACATTTTTAGGTTTTGCTGTCGTGATCGCTTTTAAAAAATACGTACTTATAATGTCAGAAGGTAGTCTATTCAGAATCATAATCGTTTTTGTCAGGTATATATGCGACATTCGCGAATACAATTTTCCTTCTACGCTTCCTGCTTCTACGCGTGTAGTTTGATATGCACCATTTTTAACCCGTATTCAAGATTTATTGACAAGTGTGATGGATTCGGAAGCTAAAGGTGAACTAAATGAACCCCATTTTTCCAATAGCTCGCAATACATCAGCCTGAAACAATACTTTCTCCCTTCGTGAGCGATGCTCCTAAGGTGCAAAGCAAAGCGGTTTAGTTGCAACATACATGCGACGTTCGCATAAGATCTATTGTACCGCCAACTCAAAGATTAGAGCACGGCAAAAAGAGAAAAAAATTGAAGTTGACGATCGCAAGTGCCAGTATATCGGTAACGCTTACTGACAATATGATTGCTTGTACATATCGAGTATTGATTGATCCGTACTTCATCGGCGATTTAATTGAAACTAAGATGCATCTTTAAGGCATAGCTGGCGACCACTGTCAAGGTTCCAGATTCTACTTTTCAAAATCAGCCTAATCAAAAGATTGCTGCCAACATATGCTACATGTAGTAAATCTAGGGCGGTACCAGAACGGAGCAGAGTAGAGCAGCGTGTCTTTTATAGCTGATCATCAATGACTCACATAACCGAGTCATGATACTCATCCGAGCAGGCGAAGTATGGTCCTGCTTCTCGCCGGAGCACGAGCAGTTTCAAAATTTGATGGTACTGTGCAATACAACAACATTGCTGTGGAATACTCAGCATAATGGTGCAGTGTAGCCCTGGCTTCCAATCAGCCAAATACCTATTACGCTCGTGAGTGCATTTAACTTGTTTTGCCTCTGTTGTATGCTATACGCATTCACAGCGTCAAACGAAGAAATCCGATTTGCACACAGATCCCTCCGGTCTGTGCGTTATCAGTCAGTTGTCATCGCTGCTGCATCATGAAGTCCAGCATAACGCTGATTTGGACATCTAGAGTGCATGGGGGTGCTCTTTCTGCCACCTAGTATCACACCAGCTCCCTCTGCCGTGTTTCTCATAACACTTTGTACAGCGCAATTGATTTGTTGGGTGTGATGTACAGCAGTTCGAAATTCTTGAGCGATGCACTATTGCCTACGGCCATTTGGCAGAAGCGCTCTGTCGTGGGCATGCCGGTGTTCTTCACGCCGCTGTTTGGGAAATGTCACGTGCAGTTCTAAGTGTTAAAACATATCTCATTAAGAATTACGAAAGCACGATGTTCATTTGAATGTGCTCATACGTGTTTGCTTGGAAACGGACAGAGTGGAATCCAGAATAAGTCAACAACGTGCCACAGAGCTTGTCACAAAATTTTGGTGCGAGAACTGCTCAACCCATAGAAATCGATACAAAACGGATGGAACAAAGGTGCGTAAAGGATTTATGTATATATCCTCTGCATACACATAAACTACACCCAAAAATTCCCCTCCAAACACTGCACAGTACGAGATACCATCTCAATCTGATCTTGTATAGTCCATCGCAGTAGATTCCCTACCTTTGGGACGCGATGTAGTCATAGCCATAGCCACCCGCGCACTTAGCCATGCAGCCGCTGGTGATGACGTACTCGGTCTTAAGCTCCTTCATGGCTGAATACACGTCTGCCTCCGATACCTTTGCGTATGATTGGTACTGTAGTTTATATCTATCTCGCATGTTGCGCTTCTCTGCGTGCGGATGAATTGTTATTGGCCTGCGAGTGGCGAGCTTTACATGCGAGCTCAGGTCCATAGAGGCAGTGATAACGGCATCCTACATGGTACGAAGGGGGAGGCGGATGTAGAGATATGGCGAATTCTTTTAGACTTGGAAGTACAACTTTGCTTGTGCATGATGTGTTATTGCACGTGAGTAGATCATAGATATCTTTGTTTCAATATACGTGCGTACATGTAAACATTTGTACACAATTACATAATTATTTGTACACAATTACATAATTATTTGTACACAATTACATAATTATTTGTACACAATTACATAATTATATGTACACAATTACATAATTGTATGTACACAATTACAAGTGTGCAAATATACGTACACAATCTAAAGTGCTTACGCAAAAACCTTGTATTTCAGGTGAATAGTTTGCCATACCTTTGGTAGATTGGTCTCGATCCATTCCATAACTAGCATTTTCGGCTCTGCTATTCCATATTGATCCTTCCGTTGTGCGTTAATTAAAGTACTAAAGCGAGTCCAGCCGGCTGTCACAATCGCAAAAAACATAGCAGCCTATACGGGGAAGTTATTGCAATTTTGTAGATGGATATGCTATCATGAGAAAAAAAAAGATTGTCGGACAGCCAATCAATTCAACGTATGAGTGAAGCTGAGGTTCTGGTATGCCTAGTGTGAAAAGAAACATCTGAAACGAAATAGTCATCACATACATCGGAGCGCACGTATTAAAAGTAGTTGCACACACTTACTCTGATCATCCAGGTGATGATGGAATACAGCGTTTGAGTTTGAGAAGCTTTTGCGGATGAACCGCCTTTCCTGACTTTGAGCGCGGCGGGTGGCTGTGCACGTGTGGAGCCCTTTTTCTTCCCTGATTTCCTATTAGGTTGGGGTGCTGGCTCTGAGGCAAACGAATAGATTTCTCAGTACTCAAACCGAGTCTGGTACTAGACGTACGAGGGCCTCCATACTTATCCATCATTATGGCCACCCTCTTATACAATCAACCATTTGCACTGTCGCTCTTTCTCGAGCGAGCGTTTTTTAATTGCCGCATACACGAAGAAAATTTTGCCGGGAACGAATCTTCCATTCACAGCTACTAGCTTGGGAAATCGAGAGAATTCAGCCAGTAACACACCTTGCGTATCTCCATCCGTTTTCTTATAGTCTGCGTACGGTGTCTCGGCATCTGAGAGAAATAACCACGCGGCTGGCAGGAGTAGTTCGTATTTATCTGTGAACAGCAAACTACCCATAATCGCAAGAGTCGGGGTGAAGAAGGGCAACATGCGCAGCATCAGAAACCCCAGCAGAATTAGACCAGAGCTCTGTGCAAAGAGAAACGGCATTGATGCATCTCCAGCACGTACATTGTTTCTGTGCAAGTGGTGATACAAAGTATGTGAGCTGAGCTGGTGAAGGCGCAAAAACAGAAAGCAAAACGTTTGTTTTTCCGAGGTACCTTTCAAATTTTACAATACCGATTATTTAGCAAGCTGAGTAGCAATAATAAATTGCAATGATAGTGTGCAAGTGTGTGTGTGTGTGCATCAAAACATTCCAAAGGCTGCGGACTATCGAGCACAAGTGACGACGAGTTGATTTCTGTCCAATTTGAGGAGTAGATATTCATGAAGAGTAAAGCGGCACCACATGTATAAACCAACTGTTCTCGGAGTGTCATTTGATGGCACTAAGGTATACTGGTTCTACTTCCGGCACGCAAAACACTGGGATAGACATGACAATTCAAGATTGTATTCACACCGCGTGGAAGGCGTATAGCAACGGACATGTTCAAGTATTAGCTATGTGAGCTTTCTGGCCTTTTGATGACATAAAGTTGCAGTAAACAATGTAGTTTTCCGCACCCAACCAAACATAAATACAGAACCAGAGATGTTGGTGAAATTGTCGTGGTGTTTGAGTTTTTATCAATAGCATTTTAGAAGTGTGGGAAATCAGGCTTAGTAGCACATACAATCTACTGGATTTCTATGCTATCTGTACTTAGCTTATCAAATGGCACACGAAAATAAGCAAACGGCACTCTAAAACTTGCCCCAACAGAGAGATATACAGCTCTACGCGAAATACATGTAACAATCAAAGCACACGAGCTTATGACTCAGATTGCAGACCTTAAGGACACTCTCAGACTTACCTACTCACGACGCCGTAGTCACCCATCCAGTCAAGCCCCGTTTTGACGAGCAGGCAGATATACACGGCTGCAGCAGCTGGGATCAGCAACGAATTCATGAGATTGGTGATGGCCCAACCCGGTAGGGGGTTGTAAGCGTGTCCACATAGATACTGCAGGGTGGTAAAGTCCTCGTAGCCGACCAAATGTGCCTTGAGAATAAGGAGCACGTGTGCGTCGTCTTCAATGCCCATGACGTTGTTGAAGCCTACCTTGCAGGCGAGTGTCAGCCCTGCCACGGCTGCAACGCGTAGTGCAACGTATAGGAGACTGGTGTTGAAGCAGCTGCATGTGGGATTGTAGTGGTTGTTCGACGTGTGAATGTTGTTTTCTCGTAGTTGCCATACTTATGCTGCGAGAAGAGTACAATATATCAGGGCTGGATAACAACATATCTTATCGGTGGGTAGCACCAAAGTACTCGAATCGATTGAGATGGGAGTGTCATTGGTGTCTGTGTCGACTTGGTGATCTACTTGCATGAAATATTTAGATTACCTCGTCGGCCAAAAACTGATAATATCCATACGAAATACTGCAGCGCTATACGCATACTGCAGCGCTGCACAAGCCATGATTCTGGCGCAGGTTTTTAAACAAATGTGTATCTCAACTTAAAGTATTGTTGAGTGGCGAAGCAGACCAAGCATTGATTCTTACGTGTAGCATCAGGGTTTTTCAAATCCACAAAAGACAGCTACTTGCACGTTCTACTTAGATGCTACATCAACGGAATAGACAACGCAAATGACATATAAGCGCTCGTTGGTAAAATGTTAGTTGTTGAAGCCTGATGATTGGAAATACAGGCGCCAGAGAATTGACATAGACCGAGTCAGCGCTCAGTTTTCTGATAGTCGTATTCTACTCATTACACTAATGAACTATGAGAGCCGAGCTGACAAATCTCAACTACTCGTATAATGTGCCATGGAAATGTAGATGCCTGACACAAAATCACCACCAACAAACTGAGCTATGAGCGCCGATGTGTCGGCGCAAGTTAACCTTTGAACACTTGAGCTGTGATTTTCGAGGTGCATGAGACGAGTCAAGTACTCACAGCCACCAGTTGCAAAGTCAAGTGAAGTAATACAAATCAATCTCCAAGACATACGGCTCATTGACGCGCTCGAACACAATAGGTTTACCTTGTCACTTCGCAAATCATATCCTCTCTAAGTACAGTACGCAATAGTACAACTTATATACCGTGTCAGTAACAGAACAAACAATGTTTGCATACAAACCACCTCTCCCCAATTACGGACAACTTACCTATTGGAGCGAGATGTGAGTGCTCGTTCGATCTCTATGACAGTCATAGCCGCAAGGCAGAATATCAACTGCAGCGACGTTAATAACATCTCATTCCCAAACATTAGCGTGGACGCAACCACTACTGCGATCAACTGGCTAGCGTAAATCTGTTGTTAGCAATGTTGCGAGCGTCAGAAACAATGATTCCAAATAGTCCTCGACATAAGCGAGGCGTTGATTGCGTTCTTATATGAGCTACACTTCACTATTGAGACACGTTATCAACGCTATCACGTATAAAACTTTACCCTTTAGTAGGTACACACTAAAACTTATGGCATGCAGCGCTGAGGACACAATACAGGAAAAACTTGCAAAAGATTGTGCCAATAAAACAGCAATACACACCACATAGTGATGGAGTAGAATATTGATCTCCAAGCCTACAAATGTTTTATGCAACATGCTATTATCCGGCAACGTATATAGCAATATGAGCCATACTTTTAATGTATACAGGCCAACGAATGACTATGTAGATTAAGTATACATTCATATTTGTGTCTGATTTGTACACAATTCATACGCACGTACAATTTGGCAAACGGAAACAAGTTGGCTGCGGCCGGGAGTAGATGTGGCACTTATATTAATGTAGCAAAGACACACCCTGTATTGTATTGACCTATTCAATCAATCGATAGATTGTATCGCACCAGGCATCCGCTTAGTACCCATGCGTTGTTCGAACACACCCTCCATGTTAGGGCCACGCGCTTGAGCAGGGAAGAACTCTATTGTTATATCAGCAAGGACGGTGATGTATATATATATATATATATATGTTTATGATTGTGTATAATATACATTTATATATAGCATATACAGAAAGAAGTTGTGCTTCACATACTTTGTTCACCCTAGTAGCACCCATCCGACCGATAGAATACACCAGATACAAAGCCACGCTTTGAAGCAGTAGAGGGTACTGACTGAATTGCCAAAATAATAGGAACGCAGTTGATGACAGGGTTAATCCGATCAATCGCAGCATCGAAGCTTCGGCGGCCACACATCCGTGCATAAAACTCACCTGTTGAGTTAGGTACAAGGAGTGAGTGTATAAAATACAGCAATGTAAAGCCGTCTCATTCGATGGCGTCGTTCAACTGAGAAGCAGTATCAGGATCTGAACAGGCCAAGGTGTACTTCAAAGAGAGCTATTGAATGCAGATGAGAAAAAAAGGTGACATAACAGAAATTGAATGATGTGACAGTTCGACAGGCGGTACGCCTTGTAACACGCCTTTCAGTTCTGTAGTAAACCACGAGTGACGCTGATATACATCACAAAAGAATGAATAGAAAACCACAGGGCAAACAGTTACCTTACAACCGTCTTGCCTTCAAACATGCACATGGACCTGGCATATGAGTTTGCAGAAGTACTGCACTATCTGGATGTAGCATGTAGCATGTAGCTCGAAATCAGGCATATATTCATAGGGCGATAATGGTACCGTAAAATGAAATGGTTCGCTATTCAACCTAGTGTGCGGGTGCAATCACCACTTCCATTCCATCACGAATAAATCGTTGGCCTAGAAGAGTTCGCACAGAATTATAGCATCGCATAGAATTATGTCACCGGATCGACCATATGTATAATACTGCGTACAAAATGTGCATATAGAAGCCGCACACCACGTGTGCCTTCATATCGTACCTGCATCCACAAGAAGGGCAGTGCAAAACCCTCCCGTAGCATTGGATGTGTCTGTGCGCGAGAGAATTCGAAGAAATTCAAGGTCACCAAAAGCGCCGCCGCAATCCCGCAGACGTTGGACTTGCCGAAATTTCTGAGGACACAAGTTTGATAGTAATTCGAGGCGGGATTGAGACTCTTGTGATGCGTTCGATATTTATGGAATAAGTCTGTAACCGGAAAAGGCTGCAATGCCATGCCACGTACGAAACATGTTCTTTCGTTCGTAGTATTATTCATTCTGATATCTTTAATGAAGATGAACCACTACCGAGAGTGAATTCTCTTAACGCATGCGATTTTGCATTTGGACACAAGAGAAGGGGCTCCTGGCGCGAAGTTATAAGGTTATGAGTTTGGGAGTGTCATCATATCCACCGACATGTCTACTTGAATTTTCAACATAGTCCAATGAATATCAAATTGTATCATAAACACACATGCACACTGGAATACATACATACACAACAAACAAATCGCGGAAGCATGTCAGAGAAGGGGTGTATACGCACTCCTTACCTGGCAGTGAGGTAAATCATGGCAGTCTGTAGTCCGACGAGCGTACACACGAAGACCATCATAAAATCGAACGGATCGCTGTAGATCGATGAGCCCATTACTCGATACGCAAAAGCCATGATCACTTCCGGATATATGTTGAATCGATTCAGTGTATTGATCGTATCGGGATACTCTGAACGGGTATTGGCGGTGAGGCCTTGGACACCTTTGGCAGGTTGGCAACAGAAGAGTAACACATGGTAAGGACTCATCCGACACTACCTGATTTCGGGTGGTGCTACAAGTTGCAGAAACACTGTGTAACTTCTAAAGCCGGTCGTAGCTGCACGAAAAAGTATGACAAACAACGCAATCAAACTCAATTGAGCATCGCAGTACCACTATATCGGGAAAGTATACTTATGTATGCGCGTAGTTTTGGGAAATGAGATATTGTCTATAAACGAAAAACGATGCTTTTCCCAACTTTCCACGTATACAATATTTAACACATTTTCTGAAGATTTACTACGCAACTCGCGAGCGGCGGTTGCGTCCAACCAAACGGCTTCTGTCTAATATACAATGTGCTAGGTACCTCTCTAAACGACTTGTCTTCAAATTAAGTCGGCAATCGAGTTATGGACTTGCACAAACTCGAAAACAACTATATTCATCAACACGCAGAAAAGACATAAAATCCTAATCTATGCCACAGTCACAACATATCGGTACAAGCATATTGGTGACCGCCGCGCGTTGGTGTGAGTATGTGACCAATTTTGCAGTACCATGTTACAGTGCATCTATAGTGTGGGATTATCTTATCTTTGTTCTCAATGCAGTGGAAAAAATCATACTTATGAGAACCTGGGGCTCTAGCGAGAGGATATACATTTCGCTAATTACAATGGATTCAAGAGCAATACTGTATGAGCCTGTCTGTCGTAGAAAAGCGTATTTTTACAATACATATGGTTTGTCGCCGCATGTATTACGATACCTTCATCTAGTCTACAGACATACATACACGTGAACTATATACACATACACATAAACTAAGAAGCACAGAAAGTACGCTTGGTAGTATAACATCAAAACATAACAACACCAACGTCCATCAGATATGGGGTAGGAGAGACTCGTTCATCAAGCCTGATGTACACACTCGTGATTGCATAGAGAGATGCCATCAAATTGTAACTATTAGTGCGATTTAGGAATAGCAAACTATGTATACAAAACTACGAGTCTTTAAACTCTGAATGAAATTGGTTTGTATACCTTCATGAAAGCTCGGGGCTTTGACAATGTCGTCATAAAAGGAGTAGTAGAATGCTTGCTCCGAGTACAGATTGTATCCCTTCTCTTCCGAGGCGATCGTTCTTGTGCTATACGTGATGTCATTTAAGGTCAAAAATAGATTGGATACATAGACCATAGCAAACGCCATCAATACAACACACACAAGGTTGTCCATGGTGAACAAAGTATTTGTTAAGTGCATCTGTGCGGTTCCTTTGGCCGAGCCTACACTGGATCTGGGCATCTTCTGCATCATTCTTACGAGCCGTACTCGACTGTATGTAGTGCGATATTACACTGCTGATGCTTGCACATGTATCTATAAATATATATAAATATAAATATTCGATTTGAAAGCTGTGATATTTACCGACTTTGGTGCTGGAGTTCTGCGGAGAGAGGAGACTTAGCAACCAACCTATTTTTTCTAGAATAAGATTATTAGCTATTCTATCGGTGATCTCGCACGAAAGTTTTTATAACTTTTAGATTGTGACGTGTTCTGAGGTTTCTGTTGGTGACGACAACTTTTATTTAGTTTGACCGTTCTGAGTTCTGAGTTCTCACATTCTCTCTCTCTCGCGCGTATTTTTGCGTTTATCTTTATCTTTGACACTCCCGATCTATTTAAGCTCAAAACGTTATAAATACGTTAAACCGCTTATACCTTTCCAGGAACTTATTTTAACGTTGGACCGTCTATTATGCATGATGTGTACAAACCGAAAAATAAATACACGTTTACGCTGAATTTCTACAGCTTTTCTTGTGACGATATATTTCATTTTTTTTTAGCTCTGACTCAAGACTCGCGACTCGCGAGTCTCAGTCTCTCTGACGAGTGGCTGACTCTCTGAGCCAAGCATGCCCCGTTGTAAATCACCTCGGAACTTCTGAATAAATAAATATGTGAAGGCACACTCTCGTGTGACGGTATTGATTGGACAACCGACGGTTGGCTAAGGGTTTATTCGGTGCCTAGAAGGAGGGAGTCATATCGGATGCGTCTAATTCTGTACACGATAGTCACTACATATAGGTGTGTTGTTTGAGGGTTAACGATATAGTCAACATAGAAGTCACTGAAACGATCGAAGTCCATTTGTATATACATATACCATACACGGATGTATAAGCATACACTAATAATAAGCTCACACAAGTAGAAGCATCTACATAAACAACAGAGATGAGGCCTCCCATTGTAAGTTGGTCGAGGTTGTGGCCTCCAAGTAGACGGACAATCACAATCATCGCTGTGACGTCAATCACCTCAGGTGTATTAGCCTATGGCGCACACCGACTGTATCGGCGACTTAAGAATTCCGTTAAAGATAAAGAGCATATACTCGATCAGGTGAGTGAATACTTACACACTTGCAAACCTGAATGCATGATTTTTTTTTACCATAAAGCCTTTTTTTGTGGAGTCAAAAGTACTGTTTATGAATCTTGTATTGCTTGCTTATAGTGTGTAGTAGGAATTTAAGGTGTTAGAGTTAACCAGTTAATCCTGTGAATACACAAGGTTTAGTTTCTGTCTGCTTCTCTGTCGTATGAGGTTTACTGAGAGAGTATCTGCCATATCGTATGCGTTGCACACCTCTCTATTACTATTACATGTATCAAGCCTGAACTTCAAATCGAGAACCGTCTGTTTTTGATCATTTTACCGGGTTATCTGCAGGCTCAGTATCATCCATATATGAGACAGTAGTAGGCATGATAAACAAAGTAGCAGCATATGCATTCTTTTCGTTGTGCAATTCGTGCACTGTGCAATGTACTTCAGAACTCGCATCTAAGATGTACTCCTTTTCAGATTCTCACATAAACTACAGTAGCGATCGTTGGCTTATAGAAAATTATTGTAGACCAGCTATGTTCTAAGGATTAGGACTACGATTTAAAATTTCAAGTATGTATATATATATATACACACACACACACGCACACATACACATATACACACATACACACACACACACATTCCCACCCACCCACCCACCCACACAACACATACTCACCCACCCACACAA